AAAAAAAGATTTCACTGACTCTCATCTAATGGATATTCCCTTATTCGAACAACTGGCTAACTATCCAATTTGTATTTCCAGCAAGAGTAAGCCTACTCATTACAAATGCCTCACTAACATTACTCTCTCCAGCATAGCATGTGTCACCCCTCCTCTTTTCCTATGGTGCAAAGGAAAAGCCAAGCACTGTGTTAACTCCTCTTTGTCCACCTTTTGTATATCGGTAATGATTACACCCCAGGTGTGCCTACTCGAGAAAGAGGAAGCTGCCCTCCTCCTTTACAGCTGCCAGCAGAGAGAAATCTTCATCCTTTTGCTAGTAGGGCTCGGACTTGCCCTCTCCCTGGGTGCTGGAGGCACTGCGACTGCTGCTATTGTACAAACCCATCACCTGGCAGGAGACTTTCGAGACAAGCTGGGCCAGGCAATGGCATCCACAACTGACAACCTCGAATCTCTCCAATGACAAATGAACTCTCTTGCCGGGGTTGTGCTCCAAAACAGAAGAGCACTGGGTTTAATAACTGCTGAACATGGGGGGATGTGTGTGGTAATGGGAGAGGAATGCTGTTTTTTTGTAAATGAATTAAATGTTGTTGAAACCAATGTTAACACTCTCAAAAAACTTTGTAATGATCTATTTTCAAGATTTCAACCCACTGAACAATTAGGTTGGTTTAGTAATCCCTTGTTTTCATGGCTCCTACCCTTTGTTAGCCCCCTGATCATGCTGTGTGTCATTTTGATGCTTGCTCCCTGTTTCATACAATTTCTTTGCCAACAAATTACTACCATTGCTAAAATTACTATCAAACAGGTCATGGTCAATTATCAAACTTTGGATTCTCCTGAGATAGATGAGTTGGCTCTTAAGGCTTGTGATGACAATTCTCCATTGTAAAACCAAACAGGGGGAGATGTTGGGGAACCCTACTGTAAGGGTTGTAGTTCTCCATGTCCGGATAGCTCTAAGGGGCTCGGCGCCATATGGAAGGACTCTCCTTCTCAGCAGGGGTCCTTCTGCTCTCTTCCTGACTTGCCTGGAAAGTGCCACCAAGCACAGATGCCTGACCTTATTTGGAACATGACCTTTGGCATAGTTACCTGGAGTAAAAACTACCCCCAGGTTTTTTCTATATGATAATTAGGCATTGCCCCATAGTCAGATGATAGGATCCTGCTACCACATGTAAATAAAGCATACTATGAGCACCTATCAGCAGAAGCATTGGCTGCTGCCTCCACACTATATTTTCCCTCCCACTGAATAAACAGAGCTGTTTCACTGAATCTGGAGCTGTTTCACTGAGTCTGGAGCTGTTTGCATCACTGAACCTGCCTCCCTAGAAGGGCTTTCTTCCGTCAGTGCTCACTGGCCGTCCTGACCCCGCTCATTGCTTCTGTTCCCTTTGTCCTCATGGAGCAGTGGCCAATGACCCACGAGGAGAGGGAGTGACCCCACATATATAGATATCCAAGTTTCTAAAAAATATAATGTTCAAAGTATGAAACTTCATAAATGATAGTTAGAAAATCTTCTTAGGTTAAATAAACCTGTACTCAAACATAGCCTCTTAATTCTTTTGTGGAGCCCTGTTTATCTAGTTGAAGTACAGATTACCAGTGTGTGTGTGTGTGTGTGTGTGTGTGTGTGTGTGTGCGTGTGTGTGGTATCAGGTAGTTTTGCATCTCTGTGACCAAATACCAATTAGAAACAACTTCAGCTTCATTTCAGCTCATCATTTTGAGATTTCAGTCTATAGCCCTTTCTTCTGTTGACTCTAGACATAAGGCAAAACATTATAGTGGTAGAAGCCCATGTCAGGGGCTATCAACTTCATGACAGACAAGGGGCAGAGAGAAAACAGCACACACTCCAATAAATATCTCCCAAATGAACATCTTCTCTGTTGGGAAATAGTGATCCAACTGACCCTATCTCCTATATTTTGCTGCCTCCCAACGATGCCTTCATATACCGAATTAATCAAGGAATACATCCAATTGAGAAATTCATGCCAGTACTATGAAGAGCTAATCGTCTCTGGAAATACCCTCAGAGTTATTCTGGAGGGACACTTTCCATTAACCTATTTTCTTCTCTGGTTTTCTGTAGAATTGCTTAATAAGGATCCTCCCAGAAATTTCGAAGTTATATAAGGAGAAATTTCTATACCATCCATCAAAACCTGTGGCAAATTTATAGAGATGAGGATTGAGCCTCAATTATAATGTGTTCCAGGTGGTTCAGATCATGAACTTCTCACTTGGACTTATCAGACTTGTCTGATAACCACATCCTCAGGTTGTTTATAACTTCTGTTATGGCAGATGCAAACTGAATGCTGGCAGTGAATCAAAAAAAAAAAAAAGAATAATAATATGCAGAAGAATGACCTGCGCACTTTCTAGCAAAACTGCTTCTTGACATTCAGGCTCTGAACATGTAGATAAACAAGGAGGAGCAGCTGGGGCAGTTCATCAAACATTTGCTTCCCTGGGTGGTTTATATTATGATCTCTATCACTGTGGGAGGGTTACTGTAATGCTGTAGGCAATAATAAAGTCCAGTATCTTCAAGCTCCAGTTTGCTGATAGTGAGAGTGAAATCTGTCCCAGAGTACTGGCCACTGAACCTTGATGAGACACCAGGGTACAAATTGGTTGCATAATAGATCAAGAGCTTAGGAGAATTCCCTGGTTTCTGCTGGTACCAGTTTAAATCATTACTAATTCCCTGACTTGCCACACACTTGATGGTGACTGTGTCCCCTAGAGATGCAGACAGGGAGGGTGGAGACTGAGTCATCTGAATGTCACATCTGGCACCTAACATTGGAAACATAAAAACAAATAACACAGTTAAAATATTATAATACCATACCTCTAACTGAAGGGGAATTAATGTTTTGCTCCAATTAAATGCCTGTTGTTATTCTCCTTACCTGAGAGCCAGAACAGCAGAAGCCCCAGAAACTGAGCAAGACCCTTCCTGTCCATGCTCTGTCCTGAATAGGACTGACTTGTGTACAGAATGTGACTAACCTGTTAAGACTCTTAGTTAAATGGGTACATGCAAATCTGTGTAAGTTGGGTGGGGTTCACTCAGCTCAGTAACACAGTGAGGTTCAGAGTTCATAGAGGCCCTCAACCTGGAGAACAAATTTCCATGCTGAGAAAGTGTTTCCCACAGGGCAGTGCAGGATGTAATCAGTCTAGTGTCCTGCAAGTAGAGTGTTCTTTTGCTCACTTTGTGGTTCATGATATCCTCTTCTTAACAGCTTTTCATATAAGATGAATTACTATGGATTTGATTCTGTAGAAACTACAAATAACTTAAGAAGTTCCTGAATTTTATACCTGTAGATATTGTTGAGGCCAAAGAGATTTCCTTTTTTAGTTACCTGAAGGATTTTTTAATATTTTATGTAACATCCATATATACACACGTACACACACACACACACAATGTTTTGATTAAATTCACCTCCATTCCTTCCCTACCAATTTCCTGCTACCATCCTACCACTTTTCTGTTCCAACTTCATGGTTTTTTTATTTATTTACTTATTTTTGATACTCATTGATTTCATTTAGGATGTGTATGGGTGCAAGAACACCTTCTAGAACATGAATAGCTTTTCTGAGCATACATCCTTAAAGAAATCAATTATCATACAATAGCTCCTTAAACAGGGATGGGACTTCATGAGGCCCTCTCCAATTCATGCTGGTATTTGGGCTCCTTTGATCTTGTGCAAGGCTTGTGAATGCACTTTGAGTTCATGTGTGCACCTTCACTGCTATTACACAAAATATCATTTTATTTTAATATCTACTCCCTCTAGCTCTTATAATCTTTCTGACCCCTCTTCCTCAACAATCCCTGAGCCTTGAGAAGGGTGTGATATAAGTATCCAATTTAGAGCTGAAGACTCCACAGTCTCCTATTCCCTGCAAGCTGGCCAGTTGTGGGTCTCTGTCTTAATCACCATCTTCTGAATAAACAAGCTTTTCTGCTGGGCCTATGACCTCTCTAGCCATATACACTATATGGCTACCAATGGAGAAAACCAATCAATAATCCTACACAGCTCTAAAGTCTATGAATCACAACCATGACTGGCCCAGAAAGCTATCTGTATTCATGCAGTAGTTGTACTTTTATTTTAGAGGCAATAAACAAGTGTCTAATTGGACTCAAGTCCTGTTCAATGGGAGAAAAGTCATGTGTATAGCCAAGTACACATGGCTGAAGAGGTCATAGACCCTAAAGAAAAAAACCTGTCCCAGTCTTTGGTTTGTTTTGACACAGAAATAATAAATCGGGATTTTGTTCATGTGATTCTACCTCTACTGTACAATAGAATCACCGGCTCCTCTGGAGAGTTTCATAAGGCTATTACAATCTGTACCACATGAAGTGTATTAGAAGCAGGATGCGGCAATGGTGGAACCTATGAAAATTGAAAAGGGAAGTGAGAACGCATGTGTATAGAGGGGGCACACCAAAAGGAAGCCCAGTTCCAGCACACTGAACAGCTTCAGTAACAGCTGAGGCAATGACATCAAGAAAGCATTTTATAGTTATTTGAAGAGAATATATCAGTGTGACAGGCAAATACATATCAAAACCAGTATCTGTGCTGGCTATGCAGGTGATGCTGAGTTTTTCTCTGTAGCCAAAGACAAGAATTCAGAGACTGTGTGAGTGATTCTACCTTGAAATCTGTTTATGGAAGAAAATAAACAACATGAATATCTTATGAAAGTATAATATTTTGTGGAGATTATGAGGAGTGAATCCCTTGGAGAAACTCTTTCATACCAGAGATTCAGAGGAGGATGTGGTTGAGAAGTTGAGCTTGGGACACTATGGCCTTGGCTCAAACGTTCCCCTCTCATGTTGTCAGCTTACATTATGTGGCATCAGAGATGCTGAGGTTGGAATAGTGGCAGAATATACAAATTATATTGAATACAGTAAAGGGTTAAGAAGATAGAATTGAAAGGATATAATTAGAAATTTCCACAGAGTCCATGCCTGCTGTTTTCTTCACAGCTTTGCCGAGCTGATGTTCACAAGATTAGAGTTAAAAATGTAACCTCCTCAGCTATTAGCTTTCCTTTCCCTTATTCTTCTGCACAATATTCTTGTTATCTTTCAAGAATGAACATTACACTAAGCTGCCAGTGGATGACCCCATGCTGCTATTCCTGACATTGCTACTTTTAACCACAAAACAGGATCCTATTCTGTCATTTATGATGGAAACCAGCTAAACAGGTGTCTCTTTAACATTTTTTCCACCTGAACACAAAGGCCCCTGACTTCTCAGCTAGGCATTCATTTTGTACTACCAAACTTGTATACTGTACTGAATATTCAATATTCTAACTGAAATGCAACTCTTTAGGAACGTTTTTATGCTTTTAAACATTTTCTTAGTTTTACTGTTTTTTACTATATTTTTTCAATGGAGAGGGTTAGACATATCTAAAGAAAGTTTACTTTTTTATGTTTTAATATTAAAATTTTAAAGTGATTTTCAAATGCAAATGATATAAAGAAGAATATCACTAAGTATATGAAAATTTCAAGGAAAACATCTATAATATGCAAAGATAACTCAAGAAAATATTGAAAATTACTTCAATAGAAACATTGGTAGAAGTTGTGATTAAGTAATTCACTAAAATGTTCAGAGTGAATCAATATAGAGAACAGGTCATAACATACTCATTTACTACAGCTAGATGATCAATACACAATATTTAAAACTGTACTTAGGGACTAGGACTCAAATGGGTTCCTGGAAGGCAGACAGACAGGGGAAAAAGTCTCTCAGTAAATTAATGTACTTTTAATATTTAAGATGACTGAATTCCTGATTCTTCTTCCTCTACAAGGCGAAGACTTGGTTGGCTTTATCCCACTAGAGGGAACTTTTCAAGGAGATTTTCAAATCTCCCATGGTTGGGGTGGGGGACTTCTATGGCAGAAACCAATCATCTTCCCCTTCTTTGTCCATATTATCCAGTCTCTGCAACAGCACACACTGACACAATTCAGAGTGAGAAAGTGAACACATCTTTCTTCCAAATATATAAAATTTTTGGCTCTACCAAACAAACTTGAATTACAGTCAGAATCCCTTCCCTTTTGAGGAAGTCAGTCTCTGTTCTTTGCTCTGTGTTCTGATTTCAACAAATCTTGATTGAGTGCTGAAACCTTGTTTTCTCTGTCTTTTTAATCTTTAAATCATCTGAAAAAATAATACTTTCCTGCAACCCTAGATGGTTTCACCTTGAGGGCATCAGTACCAAATGAAGGCCCACATAAATAAATATGTTCAATAATACTAGAAAGTTGGGACTGAAAATTCTAATCAAATTAATTTTAATATGTTTCTGCCCTGACACTAAAATCACATGAAAGAAAAAAAAAAACAACAATTAGGACTGCATCAAAATTCAAACATTAAAGGCTACAAAATATCCCAGTGGTAGACATGTTAGAAATGCATCTACAACTCTATACACTACAGAGATGCCTGTTCACCCATTTCATTTCTGCTCAATTCACAATATCCAGGAAATGGAAACAACTTAGATGTCCATCAACTGATAAATGGATAATGAAAATATGATACATTTACACAATGATATATTATTCAGTTAAGAAAAATGAAGTTATGAAATCCACAGGTAAATGGATGGAACTGAAAACAATCATCCTGAGTGAGGTAACCCACACTCAGAAAGACAAATATCACATGTTCTATCTCATAGTACTTACTAGCTTTGAATGTTTAGCGATACATGCTTCAATTGGAAAATAAACAGAGGTCAGGAAACGACCGTGGAGGACGGGGAGACTTCATGGGAAGAAAGTTAGAATGCACTATTATAAAAGGGTAAAGGAAATTATGATAAAGTAGATAGGGTTAAATGGGATAGGGAATGGGAGAGTAGGGTGGGCAAGGGAGTATGAGAGGGATAACTAACCCTAAAGACTTTCAGAAAAAGTTATATGAAAACCTACCACTGTAGTAGCTTCTTTGGGTAAGTTAACCAGCTTTCAGTGGATAGACACTTGGGGACACAAGACTGACTCAATAGGCACATACATATGCATTAAATTGAGCAGGGGTGTTAAGAGATAGGTACAGATAAGGGAAGGGATTATAAATCAAAACATGTTGAATGAAATTTGAAAAAATTCAATTTGAAAACTTTTCTTTTAATAAATCTATTATAAAAGTTTTGTGTATTTCATGCAGAACAGCTCAAAAACTTTCAATCATTTTAATATCCTTATCCCCACTGGCACTCTCCTACACGCACCCTCACTGGAGTCCACATACTCAATCATTCCTGTCAGGACCACTGGGTTGTGAGTGTCCTTCCATTTCCCAAGCGCAAGTCCTTCCACTAAGTCTAATCATCCTCTCTAGAGTCCCTTGTTTTAGGAAGATCAGTTCTTCATCCAGCAGCAATCAGTTGCCAACATTCCTGTTGATTGCCCCTAAGTTAAGAGTGCCACTACTGCACCAAAGATGTATGCTGTGCTGGTCACTGATGTGGTTATTTGGTCTTGAAACTGGTGTTGGATCATAAATTGAAGCTGGTGTTGGATCATCCATTGATGTTTTCCCTTGGCACCTTCATAGCACTCTCTAAAGCTATGAGAACTTGCCTTCAGGGAACAGGTTGCAGGTCAGTTGAGCTGTATTGCTCCAAATCCTGTGTCCAAAGTATGTTCTGCCTTTGGTAGCAGGGTCTTAACCTTCAAGTTCTGGCAGCCATCAAGGGCTGTGGCAATATGTCTTTTGGCAGACAATATGATATTATATTTAAGAGGCACCAAAACGTCTACCAGAAAACTCCTAGAAATGATTAACACTTTCAGTAAAGTGGCAGGTTACAAAATTAATCTACAAAAGTCAGCAGCATTTCTATATACCAACAACAAGCAATCAGAGAAAGAGAACATGGAAACACTCCCTTTCACAATAGCCT